AAAAATAGCAGGCTCATAATTAAGTAAGCCAGACGTGTATAACAGTAAATGAATGTTGTTTTTGCAAACGTTCATTGAGCAGATTTATAGTAGAGCTGATCTGGTCAGTTACGACTCTAGGATAAGACATTAATGCTGAAAAAGATTGTTATCTTGTTTAAACCTATCTACAGTAAAGCTACTGTGAATAAAGATAATATTGTTTTTTCTACGCTGCTCAAGACCAAATTATGGGACAACTGTTTGAGCGTGTCCTGCTATGGATGCGTCCATATCAATCTGCACAACATATAAGAGAACAGGACACAGTCGAACATTTTCATATAAGAAGATTTTTCTGGTATTTTCAGATATAAGCCCCCCCCCCCCCCCCCCCCCCCCCAAAAACACGTCGCATATGAGTCGTGACAAAGACATATCGTATCGGTTACCAAATTTGTATTGGTTACCATCAAACTTACAGCTGCTTTTTTATCTGTTATTCATTAAAAATCCATTTAAGTTCGTATAATTTGAACAAGCACAAACGTATCAAGTGCGATAGAAAACCCAAACGATGAGGGAAAGGCTTTTTTCTGCTAACAGATATGAAATTGACAATGAGCAGGGTGGAATCGTCACGTTTGTCTTAAATACTACAGTATCCTGTTTTTAAGATTTAAGATAACATGTTTTTAGATACAGGTTTGATTTTTTATTGTATACCCATATCTTAAATTGTACAATTGAGACAGAACTTGCAAATTGAAAACAAAATTGAACAACAAATGTAATTTTCATTATTTCTCAATTATATCTTAATTTCATAGTTAAAATCACGCTCTAGCATTGATAGACGCAGGTAAAAATTCAGCTGATTACAAATGGGACATTTATAACCAACGAAATCGAAATGCTTACAGTTTAATGATATTCACCAGCTCATTTCATTATACGTGTTATGTTTAAATTAGAAAATAAATCAAAGTAAACACAGACGGCTAGATTCATGCTAAAACAATAAAGGAAAATAAAAACGACATACATTAATCCACGCTAACCACCATATTAAGCCAGGCACACGCAGCTTACTGTGTAGATAGATATATTTAAACATTGATTACTCTACGTTTTAGGGATGTAACGGTACAATACTAGACCCAAAAATCAGTTGAACGGTGCTTAAATAAACAGATCTGTACTAACTCAAGATAAAAAATACAAGGTTTCTGTTTGTGGAAGTACACCTCAAACTGTTTAATAGACTTAGACACTATAAGAAGTAAACAATACTCTTGTTATATTATTGTAAGTTTTCCAAACGACTAATTCGAACACTTACCTTAGAATTTGTAATGCTTCAAGTAACTCTTCAGTATTCATACAATATATCAAATTTTCATCGGAGTTGAAAGCATTCAACATGTATATTAGATACCTAGAAACTTTAAATGCAAAAATGATCAGCAAGACAAGTTCTACAAATAAGTTCAATTGTCGAAATCGTCAGCCGACTCCTTATAAGAGTTATAGCCCTTGTATGATGATTTTTACCATTTTGTTGCGTTTTTGCCTTACAAATGTATATCTAAAAAATTATGATAGATAGATAGAAACAATAATAAGCAAAAATGATCAGCAAGACAATATCTACAATTAAAACAATATTGAGGAAATCGTCCGACGTCTCCTTGGAATTATTGCCCTTTAATGACGATTTTATCATTTTTGGGGGGTTTTGCTTTACAATGTATATGATAAAAATCATAATAGATAAATAGACACTTTAAATCACAAAAATGACCGATAAGGCAAGATCTACTAACAAGTCAATTTCATACCCTTTTTTGTATTTTGAACAAAAACTAGAGAAGATAGAGAGAAACTAAGCAGACTAAATGATCAGCAATACAAGAAAATATGCACATAGACCTAGGTGAGAGACACAGGCTCTTTAGAGCCTCTAGTTAAAAAGTATATCAATCTTTCACTAAGTTCTTAGTACACGTATCGCAACCCAATGTATGTTCGCTATGGTTCTAACAATATAATGGATAATTCTTAAACAGATTACAAAACTATAAACGCCTAAAGGGTGTGCAAATAGTCAAAACGGGAAAATTTTTGAAAGATTTTGGCAACGTTCAAGTAGTTATCGTCAAAATGAATAAACAAAAATAAAATAGTTCACCAAACCAAAACTCTTGATTGATTTCAAACCAGGGCCATATTCAAAAAGTCTATCAATCATAAAGTTTACTTAGACATATAGTACCACATCCTAAAGTGTACACTCTAAGGGTTTTACAATATGATCGCTTAATTTTAAACATATCACCAACTTATAAACGCCTAAAGATAGCTCAAAATCGCGATTTTTGCAAATTTTTGCTTTTTAGTATTTATTCCTAAAGCGTATAAGAAGGCCATCGTTAACCAAATCCAAAATTGTGTTAGAAGTCAAGCTATTTATTGTCTTTCGGGCACTAATTCATTTTGGATGCCAAATTTGACAAAAACATGTAAAAGCAAATCTGTATCTTCAACAGCATGCAACTTTTTTTCCCTACAATGGCTTCCATTTTCACGATTTTAAAAATTAGCTGGCGTAATGGAGAGATAACATTGACGAAGTAGAATCCTGACTGCTACTGAAAACATTAAACTATTTTATGTTGTACCTGTGTTTGTACTGTTATTTTACATCCACATCTTTGGCTTAATGTTACACTCACTTCGATTTCATCAGGACCCTCGCCCACAAGGGACTATTTGCTCTCTCTGTTATACATGCAATTGTTCGCGTGTACCTTGTTGTTTTTCGACAACGCCCCATGCCAGCTCTCAAGTTTCGTTTTAATAATTTACAGTTGTGTTCGAAATGGAACTAGAATCGGATTAAATCTTAAACGTTTTTACCCCGTTTTTGACTGACGCTTCATTTGTCGTCATTTTCCGACAAAATTAATAAAAACTTAGTTGATTAATACAAAGGATTTGAAAGTGTTACGACCAAAGAGCGCGGGTAGGGTTATCAAACTCTGATATATTTATTTTTGTAGTTAACAGTAGTGAAACCTCACTCCATTGAAAAAGGGGAAAACGAAGATCTAGTAAAAAAAAGGTAAATCAAGAGACAAAAAAAAAAAACCCCAAAAAACCGGGGTCCAGAACAGCACAGAATGACATTGGAAACACAAACGCCGAAATATGAAGACAGATAAAATACCCGGCCCAGTACAACAAACACGAGGGGAACGAGAATACGGACTCATCAGTTGCAATAAGCACGTGTATCAACTCAAAGGCAATTATACAAATATCCCACATGAGAAGAATAATCGGAATCTAAACGACAACCACAAATATTATCGAGAACGAAGTTTACGCTTACACTTATGACAGATGCATTGTCGGAATAATGAGCTGTCGGAATAAAGGGCTGTCGGAATAATGGGATGTCGGAGTATTGGGCTGTCGGAATAATGGGATGTCGGAATAATGGTTGTCGGACTTACGGGATGTCACCGCGCCATACTATATCAACTGAAAACCCAATTTAATTTGCGCAAAAATTGTCCAAATTCCGATTATAACATTTCACGAAAATAAGTCCCGACAATAGGCAAACGATTCATTTTTGCATAAAAAGTTTGTAAAATGAAAAAAACAAAGCATTCTCCATAAAACATAAGGGCAAACAGGGTTAGATCATACGTTTCGCATTATTTTCTGGAGGGCATGATAAACAACAATAACAATAATGATATAATAGTAACACAGAGATGAAACAAAGATATATATTTTGAAATATGGTTCTAAAATACATCTAATTTACATAAATCAAATTGGATTAAACATTAAATTTCCATTTCTGAAATAACATTGAGTGTATTTTGAAAACACACCGCGTATGTATACAACGAAAAAGGGTTCTTTTCAAGAAAATGTAAATGTAAAAAGTGTAAAAGGTGTAATCTCGTGCAGGCCTTATACATTCAATTTATTTGAAGCCAACATCATAGTTATTAAACAAAGTTTAGTTTTTAATTCAGTAAACTATATTGACAGATATCTAAGCCTCGATAATCAAACTAGGTTCATTTTGTATTACTTCATCATACTGGTTGTCCTCTGGGACACAACGAACTTCTTGTTTTACTCCATAACGTTGAATGTGCAGTGATGTATCCCACTTTGTTCTATCCATGGGTTCTACTTTAACAGAATTCATAGAGGTAATTCCTTGATCCTCATCAAAGTAATTAAAGGGAGATAGGAAGAAACTAGCGTCCATAGCTGGTGAAGGTGTGATTGGCAAGTCCTCGGTATGTGGAATATGGTGGTTCCCCATTGATATCCAGGCAACTAGATCCTAAAACAAATGTAACGATCAATTACCTACACACATCAGTAAAATTTTCGAAAAAGTAAGCTTTAAAAAATGCTTACCGTAAAAATCGTGTACAAATAAAACAATAGTAACTTTTGTAAATTTTCCCTCTTGTATCTTTATTCGCTCACATGAGAACCTATTCACACTTAAGCTTATATTATTCTTTTTAAAACACCTCAATCTTTAGTTTATTTTCTGTCTTTTTAATTTGTTGTTATTAATATGTTCAGAACCGAGAACTTCTAGTTTGCCAATCTTTTGATATTTCTGTTTTTTTTTCAACACATATTCTTAAACGCAATGTATAAGCTGCATGTTGTTTTTCTTCTATAAACAACATGTATGTGCTTTAACTACTGGATAAATTAAACTGTTGTAAAGATATTTTATGTGATCAAAAAGGAAAGCCAATGTTATTCTCATTTTCATATAGTAAACCTCGTACTGTGTTTTCCCCAAGCCTAAAACGCTGAAGGGCTATTTAGATTTGTTACAAGTGTTTGATATTCACTTTTGGACAGAAACTTCCATATTGTTTTGCAGATTGCTTTCTATAAGAAGTTTTACCAAATCTTATTTCAATTCATTATAGAATTGGAGTTAACCATTAGTTTTGAATACAAACCTGATCGACAATAGATTCATCATCATCAATAAATTTCTGAAAATTTTCAACTGGATCAGCTATGTCTAAAGTTGAATATATGGAACTACTTGTCCGCTCAGAATCCTTATACTTTGTAACAGCTACCTGATATCGTGCCCATGATGCGATTGGTTCATTCCCAGAACCTTCTGGGAGCATTAGCACTGAAACGCCTCTGTTCAATATTCTATAACTTTTAAAATTACCAAATCTATTTTTTTGCTGTTTGTTATAAAAAATAAGATATTTTGGTTCTTTGAAATTATAACGATATGCTGCATCGCTTTCTGTAGATTTCAGTGTTGACGAAAATTTGTGTTGAATCAATCTTGCACTAGAATTGGTGGAATACTTGTTAGGACTATTCTCTAGTTCAAAGTTCAAGGTTGAAAATCTGTTTGATGTGCCTTTTATATCGACATCAGCCTTACAATTGAAAAGGTGATGATGGAGTGGAGCAGCTAAATTTTCCTGAAGTCTATAGCTAAATTCTTGGCATCGGTTGTATAAAACGAAGCTCTGACATATCCAGTAGCTGTTATTTTCACTTCCAGAACTGCATTTTGATAGAATATAAAGTCTATCACATAATCGTATACACCAACAACAGGGATAGTCCTGAGGATGAGAACCACGTTTTCCATTCCCTCATAAAATCGACCATCACTGAACCAGTATGAATGGTGCCGTCTAAGGGGCATCCCCGTGTTCAGTTCAAACAGACATAATGATGACCGCTGTCTTTGGATGGGATCACCGCCAGCAACAAAGTTAGAACTAATAAAAGTTGCATCCGACGGACAATCTATACCAGGAAACAGCATTTTTGTCTGGTTGCCATGCTATCAAGAAACTGTGCTACTTCATCATGCGGTTTAATGCCTGAGTAAAACACATCTATATCTTGTAAACTTATTTCATATGCTATTCGTTCATTTAGGAACCTGACGTCGTATATCTGTGGTCCTGATTAGAATAATATTTGGAAGTCAAAAGACCATGACATGTATTCAACGTGACGTCCTCTTATATTATACCTTTTACCATCGGGAGAAACCTGTCTGGGATTTCGAAGGGTGGGTCTATGGGAGCCTCGCCGCGTTGGTTAAAGGTGGAAAATAAATTTTTACTATAATTTGGAAATGGAACCTTTGGAATTATGGCTTTTTTAGCTTTGAAATATGTCAAAACTTCATTTAAAGTATTAAACATGGTACCATTAAACCAAACCTTCTTTATTGTTATTTCTGTTACATTCAAATCAAGCAAAACAGAAAAATCTACTATATGATGACTTGAAATTTCTAATTCTTGGACAAGAGACATCCAAATTCTTCTTTTACTTTTTTCTCCAGAATGTGCTGAAGACATAGGGACATAATACCCGAATTTCAGACATTTATCTCCACAATTTGTTAATTTTCCACCATAAAGTTCAACAAACATATTACCTAAAACAGGATCAATGGTAGATTTTATGTACTCATGAGCTTTCTCGGATTCAATCCCACTCAAAGGAGGTCGGTATATGTATGGTATTTTGTTTCGGTAAGGCACTGGTTTATGGTATGTTGGGTTTGGCAAAGGTCCCACTAAGATCTCTTCAATATACGGAGGATTTTTGTTGCCCCTGAATAAAATTACAAGGGCTTCTCTAGCTGGTTTAGGTCCATTATTATCAAGGTAGTTCAGAACATCCTGTTTGTTTGGCAAATGTATATCACTTATATAAATGACGCTATCGTTTAGATTGCTGCGACTGGGTAAAACAAGGTTTAAATCGGTCTGACGATATAGATAACTAGTCAGACTCTCAATTTCTTTTTCATGCTGCGTTCACACGTAATTCGAATTCGGTTAGCATTAACTAATTTGAATTAGTTTAATTCGCATTCGAATCGTTTTACGTCCAAACGTTAATTCTAATTCGAATTGAAATACGCATGTTAGAATAGATTAAAATCATAACAGACACCCTAATAATGAGTGAGGCCAAATTTAGTTTAATATTGGCCCTGTAATTTAATAAAAAATCCTGGTAGCCATCTTGAACAGTAAATCAGCAACAAAGTAGCAACACTTCATCAGCACCTCATAAGAAATATTTAAGCCATGTTTGGTTTCATTCCATTCAGTGCATTTGTATGTATTTCCAATAGGGTCTTATGTTAAAGGAAGTCCCCCCACTGGCGGCCATCATGGATGAAGGATCAGCATCAAAGTAACAACACTTAGTCAGCACCTCATAAAGAACATTCATGCCATATTTGGTTTCATTCCATTCAATGGTTCTCTAAAAGAAGACATTTGTAAATATTTCCCTTAGGGTCCTATGTTAAACTAAGTCCCCCTGGCCGCCATCTTGGATGATGGATTAGCTTCAAAGTAACAACACTTGGTCAACACCTCATAAGGAACATTCATGCCATGTTTGGTTTCATTCCATTTAGTGGTTCTCTTAAAGAAGACATTTGTATGTATTTCCCTAAGGGTCCTATGTTAAACTAAGTCCCCCGCTGGCGGCCATCTTGGATGATGGATCAGCTTTAAAGTAACAACACTTGGTCAGCACCTCATAAAAACATTCATGCCATGTTTGGTTTCATTCCATTCAGTGGTTCTTTAAAAGAAGACATTTGTATGTGTTTCCCTTAGGGTCCTATGTTAAACTAAGTCCCCCGCTGGTGGCCATCTTGGATGATGGATCGGCTTCAAAGTAACAACACTTGGTCAGCATCTCATAAGGAACATTCATGCCATGCTCGGTTTCATTCCATCCAGTGGTTCTCTAAAAGAAGACATTTGGAAGTATTTCCCATAGGGTCCTATGTTAAACTAAGTCCCCCACAGGCGGCCATCTTGGATTATGGATCGGCTTTAAAGTAACAACACTTGGTCAGCACTTCATAAAAAACATTCATGCCATGTTTGGTTTCATTCCATTCAGTGGTTCTCTAAAAGAAGACATTTGTATGTATTTTCCTTAGGGTCCTATGTCAAACTAAGTCCCCCGCTGGCGACCATCTTGGACGATGGATCGGCATCAAAGTAACAACACTTGGTCAGCACCTCATAAGGAACATTCATGCCATGTTTGCTTTCGTTCCATTCAGTGGTTCTCTAAAAGAAGACATTTGTATGTATTTCCCATAGGGTCCTATGTTAAACTAAGTCCCCTGCTGGCTGCCATCTTGGATGATGGATCGGCTTCAAAGTAACAACACTTGGTCAGCACCTCATAAGGAACATTCATGCCATGATTGGTTGTATTCCATTCAGTGGTTCTCTAGAAGAAGTTCAAAATGTAAAAAGTTAACGACGACGACGACGGACGACGACGACGGACGACGACGACGGACGACGGACGCCAAGTGATGAGAATAGCTTACTTGGCCCTTCGGGCCAGGTGAGCCAAAGATAAGTAACGTGGATGTTTTTTTTTGTGTGTGTGTGTGTGTGTGTGGGGGTTCTAATGTATTTCGTGTTTTTTGCCAAACTGTATAACATTAACCTATAATTAAAGTCAGATATAAAGACTAGAATGAAGTAATACATGTTTGTCAGTAGGTTTTGTATACAAATCCGTTTTTAGCATGTCCTTTTCAAAAACACAAATGTAATCAAAACGTTAAAAACTTTTAATTTCGCACAGGAGTAAGGCAAGTGGAAGTAAAGCATTCTCCATCCGTTGAAAGGACAATGTATGATAAGTGGCGTTTTTGGTCCCCTCCCCGAATAGGATATTCATAACATTGACAGCTGTTGTATAGAAGCTTGATTGTTTTATGTTCCGGTGAAAGGAAGTTTACCTACCAACCTTTTTTTTTATTAAATAGTCAAATATGAATTGCTTTATCTGTACAAATTAGCCCTATTCCAAAATAGGATCCTAGCATCCAAGCAACAAAAATGTTGCCTAGCAACGGAACAAAACTTATTGATATTTTTGCCTTCTAAGGTATGCATAAAATTGAAGAAAAGCAAATCAGATGGGCTTTTATAAGAATAAGTAATGTGATTTCAATCGTATTGCATGTTTATCATCAACTTAGCAAACAAAATAGTGCTTAGCAACGGTTACATAATTGATTCTTTTTGTTATCCGAAGTAATGTTTTAAGAATTTTCTTTATTAACTGGAGTACATTATGATATAAATATCTTAATCTATATTTGTTTACGAAGTTCTTCTTGAGCATAGCAACACAAACGTTGCTTAGCAACTGCCATACATGTTTTAATCAAAGACAGCTAGAAATGTCATATTATTCTACCACTAAGCATGAATACAATTAAAATATAATAGAGAATGGAAACGGGGAATGTCTCAAAGAGACATGATAATGTTTCTGTATTTGTAACACATAAATATGGCTTGTACAATGCAATTGTTTTCAATTTTAAGTATCCTACACTGTGAACTGTTTAACAATCAAAGCAAGAATTTAAATAAAATAATACCGAACGCAAAGTTTAGGATTCTTGTCGACGTCGGCGTTCGATGTAAGCAACTATCACGAAGAAAACACAGATTAACCGATCAGTTTATAAATTCAAAAGTATCTTCAAAACAACCTCTTAAACATTGCTAAAGGACTATTATAGTCCAAGAAAATTATATCAAATAATATAATTTAACATCAGTTTTTGTTATCATGAAAATAGATCATTGCATCAGTTTACAATATTCATGATGATGATGATTGATTTTTGTTTAAAAATATTTCATGTATATAAGGACGAGAACAAGTTAATGTGATATGAATAAAAACTCTGCTTTGTTCTAGACCAAGATTTGTAGCCGGGTATTGAACATGCTACTTTAAAAGTCTGTGCCCTTACGAGTATAGAACAACTCATTCGGGCTAGGTTAACCGTTGCTGAAATTTTATTTTCAATAAAAAATCAAAAATACATGAAATTGAAATAAGAGGGCATACTTTACCTATTTTTCAGATAAGAAGTATAAAATAGTACCTGTTTTGTACTAACAAACTTCTAGGAATCAGTGCACTCCAGGATAATGTATAGGTTTGACATTTTATTCAAATTTAAGACAAAATAGCTATAAATGCTAAGCCTTGAAAATGCAGAATTTAACATACATATTCCTACTTGCATGCTTAGCGAAGATTTCATTAGATAAGTCTTTTTTGGTATGTGTCTTATCCGATTTGTATTTATGCAAGTGATATATATTTAAACTAAGCGATTTTTAAACTGTGTTTTATTGACAAATCCTAACAGGAGCTAAAAGAAAGAAAATGCTAATTCAACAACAAATTTTTCTTTTATAAATACAGCTTATCAACTTCACCAAGTGTAAAAGAGAGCTTAAGGGTGAAGGTTGGTACCTATTAAAACGTTTAAACCCCCTGCATTTGTTTGCACCTGTCCTAAGTCAAGAACCTGATGTTCAGTGGTTGTCTTTTGTAGATGTGGTTCATAAATGTTTCTCGTT